TCTCTCCCCTCCCTCCCCTCTCTTCACCTCCCCCTCTCCCTCTTTTTCCTCTCCCCTCTTTCCTCCCTCTCACCTCCCCCTCTCCCCTCCCTCCCCCTCTCCCCTCCCTTCATTCCCCTCATCTCCCTTCCCTCCTCTTCCCTGTCCCCTCTCCTTCCTCCCTCTCACCTCCCCCTCTTCTCTCTCCCCTCCTTCCTCCCTCTCACCTCCCCCTCTCCCCTCCTTTCCTCCCTCTCACCTCTCCCTCTCCCCTCCCTAACCCTCTCCCCTTCCTCCCCCTCTCCCCTCCCTCCCCCTCTCTCCCTGCCTTCATTCCCCTCACTCCCTTCCCTCCTTCTTCCCTGCCCCCCTTCCTTCCCTCCCTCTCACCCCCCCTCTCCCTCCCTTCCTCCCTCTCATCTCCCCTCTCCCCCTTCCTCCCCCTCTCCCCTTCCTCCCCCTCTCCTCCTCTCCCCTCCCTCTACCCCCCTCTCACCTCCCCCTCCCCCCTCCCTCTCTCTCCCTCTCTCAACTCCTCCTCTCCTCTCTCCCCTCCTCCCGTCTCTCACCTCCCCAAACGCTGCCGCAGGGTAAGGGAGGAAGGAAAGGTCAGCTGTGCGAGGGAGAGGGAGAGAGAGCTGGGCTAAAACAAAAACAGTGCTATTTTTTGTGAGGGAAAAAAATTAAACTTTAAATTTCTGTTTTCGGATATTCTAAACCTTTTCAGCTAAAGTGATATTCAGTCTAGATCTGGGGAAAATAAACACATGCTTAGGAGTTAATTAATAGTTTTTTTAATCTTTGTTTGAGATCAGAAAACCGTGCAATTAACCTTTACCAACGACACGTACCAAACTTAATTTTCTTTCATTTGTATGAACGTTTCGTAACGACTCAGCTTTTGCTTCTTCTGTATTCATTTTCACATAATTCTGGGAATTAGATTTCATTTATTGACATTAATAATGAACATATCATTAGTATCATCAATATTTCATTTCAGAAGTAATCGAACCTAAGTGAATATGAAGAAAGCATCTTTTCTATAAAAAAAGTTTTAATATATATATATATATATATATATATATATATATATATATATATCTATATATATATATATAAGAAAAGAAAATACAAGGCGCATTTCCGACCGCAAGAATATTTCAATTTCACATGAAATTTTTGAAACTTCTTGTTCATTCCCGTTGTTAATAGAACTTCTTGTCCAGATATCTTGGCTTGTTTCCTAACCAAATCAAGCATTTTCAAACTTCCCCCAAAGGAAACTTGCTACTTGCTGATAACATGGCTGACAGATGCAGAAATGATATGAATGAGAATGAATATCTCCTCAATACAAGAGGTATTTGACCGGTTTCGAATACATCTGCGTCAGAAATATATTTCTGGCGGAAGATCCATTCGAGACCATGCAATACATATCTTGTATTGTGAAGATATTCATTCTCATTCATACTTTTTCTACATCTGTCAACATGACTGCGGTTCATGGCTGATAAAAAACAGTAATTACGATGAAAATATCTTGATATACTTATTTTGTAGCCAATATGTATTGCAAATTACCAAGTTTTGATCATATTTATCTGAAGCCGAAGTCCGGGAATGTCTGAAGAACGTTTTCATTTGCTTTTATTTTAAGTTTATGATATTCTCTGTGTTTCTCTAGAATGTGTGGGCCATCATCTCTTGTTATTTAGTCTTTTTTGCTGTATATGTAAATCATTTCACCAAGGCGAAGAAAGATCTCGCTACATTCACGGTCATTAATAATAGCGTCCTTTCTATTTATTTATTTCTGCCACTCACTACGACATGGAATGAGCCAGCATCGGTAGTGAGTTTCCATTAAAAGCAAACTGGGTGTTGGGACTTTTTTAACGAAATTGGCAAGACGAAGCAAACCGAGCAAAACCGAAGCTTGAAACGGCAGAAACGGTACAGCTCGGCACTGGGCAACCTCAAGTTTGCTAAACACTGGAACAGCGATACCAGTAGTTAATCGTAATCACCAATAACTTTTCTCAGTAATCCATTGTTGCTTCTGCCTACGGTGAAGTAGTGTCTGGCTACTTACCGACTCGACCGTGCGGAAAACACCCATGGACATGCCTCATGGAATTTGCCTGGTGAGGGAACTACTCGCTGTCGCCGCATTTATGCCCAACAGTGCGTGAGCGAAAGAGAGCACAAGAGTGAAAGTGGGAATGGGGGGGGGGGTGAGGGAAGGAGAGATAATGAGGGTAAGAAAGGCAGGTTTGCAATAACGTGTGTGAGAACGCGTGAGAATGAATGAGTGCGTATAGGAAAGTGTAAGACCGAGTGTGAGGGGGAAAGGGGAGAGGGAGAGATGGTTAATGGTTAAAAAGCGAAATAAATGTGCTAGACATCTAAGTTCACGTAGCACTATATGAAGGTACATTAAAGGGTAGTGAAGAATGATAGTTGTTATGCGTCAACTATCTATAGGAGTATTGAAAGGTTAAAGACGGGTAGAGTTGATGAATGGAAGGGTTATTGTGGGTTTAGGTAAAGGATTAGATCAAGTGAAGGATATGCATGCGTCTGAGAAAGGAGAACAGGTTGTCAAAGCAGAAAGTGTGGGGCTCTGAATAAGTTAGGAGGTCGGTGAGGGAGAGCAGAGGCGCGGGCTGTAGCAAAGCGTGGACAGGACAACAGAATGTGTGGAACTGAGAGGGCGACGTTACATTGGGGAGTAGGGCACTGGTATAGGAGGATGTGTAAGAAAAGTCTCTGGAAACAGATAATGGATGGGTTATAGGAAGGATATAACGAAGGTCAGGTCTGTGAGAACGGAAACAGCGAATATTCCAATGCAGGAGAGCTATTTCTTAGTTGATCTACGAGTGATAACGGTTACAGTGCGTTTTGGAGAATTTGAAGGGGAAGGGGCTAGGGGGTGGGATATGGGATAAGGAATTGGAGAGGGTGGTGGTGTAGTACCAGGAGGGGTGTCAAGAGGTGGAGGATCTGGGGAAGGGCGTAGTTGTGACATAAGGGATTCACGTGTGTATCCAGGAGGGAGTGGAAGGGATAGAGGGGATGGAGGGAGGGTGTATGTATGTGTAGTTGGAGCTGAGGGAGGGAGTAGGAGGTAAGGGTGTAGGGGGTATATGAGTAGGAAAAGGATGAATAAATGAGGGGGGTGGGCTGTGTTGGGAGGGAGTAGGAGGAAGGGGTGTAGGGGGAATATGAGTAATAGGAGAATGGATATCGGCAGTCACTTTGAGTGTGGAGGGAGCGGGAGTTGTGGAATTTGCGGGTGGGTGAGGGGTTTCGGTGTCCTTTTGGGGCTCGGGCAGATAGTTTTGAGTATCTCCCAGAGATTCTGCAGTGGCGTTGGTTGGAGTTTTGTGAGACAAAGGTTTTCTTATGAGGGGGGTGGGAGGAAGGAGACTGGTTACTGAGGAGTAAAGGCAAAGGTAGGTGGGGTGAGTGTGTGGTAGGAGAAATGGGGTGTAACGTTTAGTCTGTCTGCTGCAGGTAGTGCGGGGAGGGAGAGGGGACGGTGTTGGAGCTGTAGTTGAGACTGAAGTGTCTGGATTTAGAATAGCAAAAGAATTTGACAGTGGAAGGTAGGAGGTAGAAGTGGAAGTGGGGAAGAAAGTAGGTATAGGGGAGGGTGTAGGAACATCTTGGGGTGGAGGGGAGGAGCAAGTGACATGACTGGAGTAGGGAGTAAGAGAGAAACCTCGTTGACCTGCTTCCTGTCTGGCTTCACATAGAGTGAGACCAAGTTTGTGTTTG